TGGGGGCTGACCCTGTCGGCAGTGGTCCAGCAGTTCCCCCCCCCACCCCGCCGCCAACCCAGACAACCCATCACCCCATCTCTTCCAATTACGTCGCAGTGAGCACAACACCACCATTTCCACCTCACCAAGCTACCAAATCATAGAGACCAAGACCAAACCCCGAACAACCTTGGTCTCAACTTCGCAGCCAGGATGGCAAGGTCCAGAGAGGTGAGCTGACTGCAAGCCCCACACCTAGGGGGCAAGTGGAGCTGCGGCCCAGGTGCCCCTCACCACCCCAGGTCTTTCCTTTGATCCATCATACCCTGATCCAGGGGCTGCAAGCACAGCACATCCTGCATGTCTGGTCTTTTGGCTAGAAAGCGGGTCTTGCAGGTGGGTTTTTGCATGCTGGCTGCCTAGGCTTTCTGCTCCTAGGACTCTGCTGAAGTAATATTTACCATATATTCTCCAAACGTAACACATCACAAGGAGGCAGCAGCCTAGAAGTCTGTTCTTTAGAGGATTAAAGTTTCACTAATAGCTTATCTTTCAGAATGATTTTTTCTTAAACAGAAACATAAAAGAAATGAATGAGATAACTGAATATTTCTGAAAATATGACATTTACTACTGTCTAATAAAAAAGAAAACAGCTCCCATCCAGAGTCACTATAAGTTGTCTACTTATGGTTGTGTAAGTGAGTGTGTGTGTGGTCATTGTGATGTGTGTGTGTGTGTTTGTGTGTGCATTTAACGTATCTATGCTTGTACCACATTAAAAAAGATGACACTTTCTAGATCAAATCAATAACTTTATCTATTGATGTCAAAAGAATTTCTTAAATTATTTTTCAAACTATTTGAGCAATATTTATGTGTAACCCACCCATATTATGAGGTATTTAAACAATTTTAAGAAAAAAATTGATTTTCAAAGTTGAACTCCACTTCAAGGCACAAATTGTCAGTCTAGAACCAAAATAATATTTAATCAATTTCACCATAATAATATCTTATGGATCTACTTAAAATAACTTATGTATATGATCTTTGCTCTTTGTTACCGCATACCAAAAGAGTACAGCTCTAAGAAAAAAGAAAATTTAAGACATTTTTATATACTTAGTCAAGCAAAAAGAAAGATGATTAAGAATATATTTTACATTAAATACAATTTATAAAGACTACCTATAAAGAACAATAGGACATTTATAAAAAAAATAATAATAATTTTCAATCTCATCAGATTCCCAAATGGGAGAAATAAAATAATGTTTAAAGAGGTCTTGTGAAAACAAGGCTTCATTCCAAAAGGGAAATTCTCCAGCAATACTGGGAATGTAGTACTTTCCTGATCACTCAAATCTAAAAAGAGTTAGTCATTGTCGTCATTGTCAGAACACTCCACAACTGAAACCTACCTAAGTTTGGCGAGGCCGTCACAAGTATTTATGAATGTCATAACCTGCTTGCTCACTGATTGCTGACGACTGTAAGAATAGCTCTGAGAAGTGGACACCTAAGCATTGCTTTTAAATTGGGTCTCCGGATCTTGCCCTTGGCACCTGAGTGAGTCCTACATGTAAGCACTTCTGGTTACCTTTTTCAGTATGTGGTGTGATATGATCTAAAAAGGAGCCTTTCTTCTGGGGACCCCCTTGAGCCCAAAGGCTAACTCAGAGCAACCTCTGCAGGCTTGACTCTCCCCTTGCAGCCTCGCCTCCCCTGCAGGCAGTTTTAAAGCTGAACCTCAAGGCCCTGCCTGTCTCCAGACAGTTCTGTCTCAGCCCAGTGGCTCTTTAAGAACTGAACTGCCCCCTATTCCTGTCCCCTGAACTGTTCATGTCTCTCTTTCCTCTCTAAAGTCTTTTTTTCATGAATCTGAAAAGGAGGTGACACATCTGTATTTTGTCTTTTGAACATCTCCATGAGTGACGAGATCTTAGCCAGCTTTGACTTCAGAGCAGTAGGATTTAAAAGCTGGTAGCACCATAAGCAATACTCATTTGTATTTCCATACATCTTTAGTCCAAATATAAAATATGAATCTTTAAATGGAAATTTAATTAAAACATTCAGTGTTCATGTTGTTGGATTTTTCTTTTCTATCAAGGGCAGAGCTTCTAGGTCATTCTCTTTTACATCATCAAAAGAAAAAAAAAAGAGGGGCCATCCTAGAAGGGGGATAAAGAAGGTTTTGCCAAGAAGGCCTACCCGACATGAATATAAACCTTGACGCTCTGTAAGCTGAAGCCTTCTCAGCTTCCAGATGTGCAAACTCAACAATGGACCGATTCAACATGCTATGAGCTTCAAATTCTAGCACTGCTCAGGAACTTTTTCCATTTTAAAATTTTACATCCCTCACTAATTAACATTACAAGCTGATGCTCGAATATTTTGATATTTCCTAAATGATCAAAACCCAACATATTTCTATATTTTAGAGTCCCTTCTCTCAGATTAAATTGAAACATTCATGAACTACAATTCTTGTGTGCAATATCACCTATAATTAGAGTTTTCTATGAGAAGGGAAAATCTATAATAATGCAGTATATAAATTTTTCAGGATACTGGAAAATATCTGGGGGCTTGATTTAATTTAGAAAAAAATTCTAACAAAGACAACACCAAGTCCTTTCCCAAACACTAAGCCTTTAGATTTTACGACTGATTTCCAATCATATTATAAAGATTGTCCATTTCCATCTACCAGAAATCTTTTAAAGTAAGGATACCAATAAAACTGTTCACAAACCAGTGAGGGTTTTTCTTAGTTTCATAATTTTTTTTTTTTTTTTTTTTTGCCCTTTTTTGCCAGGGCTGGGATTGAACCTACCACCTCCAGCATATGGGGCCAGCGCCCTACTCCTTTGAGCCACAGGTGCCGCCCTTAGTTTCACAATTTTTTAATAAAACAAATTTGTGGTTTTAAACTTCAGCTTGGGCAATGTAGGAATTTTCACAAGTGCACCAACAGAGGGCCATGTGATAATTTGAATCAAACACGCACACAAGAATTTGTCCTTTGGTGTCTGGTTTTCTTTCTGTGTGATTTCAAACTTCTCCAGGAAAGCAGGGGACAATGCCCGCATCTATGGTCACATGACATCACCATTCACAGCTGCTGATGAACAAGAGAGTAGACCACACACAATGGTACATAGCACTAATCAGTGACGCCATCCACTCCTGGTCACTGAAACCCTTAACTTCGAGGCACCCAGGTTTTCCCAAGAAAGACACAGACAGGCTCTGCACAGATCCAGACCTCTAACTATACTCCTGCTGACACAGAGGCTAAGCCATAAACCTTACATCAACAGATTGTGGAAGCAGGACTAACTTAATTTAGTACATGGTTCATTCCTTTGGCACATTTGACCTTTAGAACTAAATGGCTGCCTTCATTTTTCAAAAAGTAAAGGCATACATTGAGAATTCTCACTCAGTTAAAAACTCCCATGTTCAACAGGACAGGTATAAAAAGCTTTGCCACAGTTTATTTATTTATCTATTTATTAATCTCAGAGTTGTCAGGGGTGTTTTGTTTGGTTTTATTTTTTCTTTTTGTTTGGGCCATGTGTTACATAATTTAAATAAGCAATACGAGAAGAAGACTATTCATTTTCTCCTAAAATAAACTCAACCAAAGATGCATTGTTGACACTGATCAACATCCTGTTTGGTAAAACATAATAATCCATATTCAGAAACTAAGATGAATGTTAAATTAAAAAGATTAGAAAGTAGACTCAAAAGGCAAAGAAGGCCTCTTTTTAATGCTAACAGTCACATTCGTTGGTAAGTACTTTTTGTATAGTTAAAGGTAACCTGCAACATTAACTGTTTCTTTTACTGTTTTGGTTCCAAAATTACCAAGATGCTGCATTTACCTAAGGATGTTTACTGGAGAATTTTTAAACTGGCTCTACATACAGCCAGATGGGACATCCTGCGGTTTTCTCCATGTTATTGACGACACCATGGGGATAGAGTTTGCTTCTCATTTCTTTTTCAATAAAAAATCATGTCTTGGAGTGGCAGGACTGAAATAACCCAACCCTCCCCTTTATACAGAGAGTATCTGCCCAGCTACAGAGACTCTCGTAGCTCACTGCTGCCCGACAGGCAGGAGGAAGCAAGCGTGTGGCAGATTAATTGAACTGTGCTGAGCATTCGTTCTTTAAATATAAAATGCGTGTATAAGAGAGGAATTTTATTGACCACATCATGATTTTATAATTCTTTGTACTGGAGGAAAAAACTCCTTTCCAGCCTGTGGCTCCAAGCGCAGCACCCTCATCTCCCTTTAGCTTATTTAAAAGGAGACTATGGTCACAGAAAAATAGTCCCAGATTTTTGTTCCACTGTCCTATTCCAAAGCCTTTCTGTGTATAGTGAAAAACAAACACCAGAGGAAACCTGGCCTGAGTAAGAAAGTAGAGCCCCGTCTTAGAGGAAAAAAGCAAGACAGCATTTGGCCTCCTCTGCAAGGAGCTGGGAATTCTTGCTGTGGGGGAAAGAAAACGCCCACCCTCCCGCGGAGGGAGGACCCAGCAGAAGTAGTGACACTCGGTGCATTTCTCATCCCCAGAGCTGTCCAGGTCTTGCAAGTGTGTTTGGTCTACACTAGGTAGGCCGGACCCCGCTTCCCAGGGATAGGTGCCCATGGCAGAAGGGGCCCTGGCTGGACGTCTGGTAAAGCCAGGTGACAAAGACATGCCCAAAGACGGCAGCCCTGAGAAAATCAGGACAGACTGGGTCGCCTGGTTGTTAACCTTTCCCAGTGGATGCGGGGGTAGAAGTGGGGGGTGGGGAGCGCGTTTGTAGTTTCCTCCTCATCGCTGTCAAGGGAGCTAATTGCTAAGGAGTGCGCCTTTCCTCGCCTCTAACGTGACAGTCGCTAGTACTCCCCATACCCAGGGCTTCAGGGGAGGAAGAGGTCTGCCCCGAATTGGCCCCTACCTAGGCCTGGGACCCCTGCTGGAGTGGCCCGCGCCCACACCCACCTTGACGACGTAGGTGACTCCGGGCCCCAGCACCTGGTCGTTGGCGTGTGGCGCGCTCCGTGGGGGCCTGGGCAGCGGCTCGTCGCCGGGCCGGCCCTTCCTGGCTGCGCTCATGGCCGGGGCGCGGGGAGCGGGGGGCGCGCTGCCGTCCGGGGCTGCCAGGCTGGGCGCACTGCAGCTGCCCGAGAGCCGCGCGCCAGCCCGCTCTCGGGCGGCGGACGACAGGCCGCGGAGGCCGGAGCTGGAGAGTTTCAGGTGGGACACCTTGTGGAGCAGGTGGCCCAGGCTTCCGGGCCCATCGTCGGGCGCCTTGCGCAGCGCTTCGCCGGACACCAGGTAGGGGGCCACCGCCGGGGTCTCCCGCGCCGCGGACACCTTGCCGCCGCCGCCGCTTACCGACAGGCTGTGGAGAAGGTCATCGACCGATGTCACCGAGTCATTCCTGAAGCGGTTGTACTTGGTGCGTGGAAGCATGCCCCTCCGTGGGCTCGCTGCATCCGCCCGGGCGCTGCTGGTGCCGGCCCCGGCGCGGGCTGCCGCGCATAGCAGGCGAGCCACGGTCCCCGGAGCGGGACGGAGAGTGGGGGCCCCGGGACAGCCCTCTGGAGAGGGAGAGCAGAGCCAAAGGACGGTGCCCTCCCACCATTAAAAGCCAGCACAACAGCGGCCGCGCAGCCCTGGCCCGGGAGCCTGCTGCTTAGGGGTGCACGTTTGCTTTGCAAAAGTCATAGTTGCCTCTGATGGAGCGCCCAGCTGCTTGGGGCTGCTCGCAGCGAAAGCATGACTCACTCTGAGAGGAGACCCTTCTCAACAAAGGCTCGGTGAGCACTGCAAATCACTTCCTGTAGCAAAAAAAAAAAAAAAAAAAAGGAAAAAAAGAAGAAAAAAAAAAACGACATCCACCCGCTGACAGCACACTAGAGCCAATCAATTCTCAAATTTCCTTTTTCTACCTTCCCTGATATTTCCTTCCAACCTTTGGGGGTTTTCACCTCCCTATCAGCCGCCCACTCCGCATTTGTGCCAAAGGTAAATCCAGTTCCTTCAAATGGTCAGATGAACTTTCTGAAACCCATTATTCTATGTTAGGTTTGCTCTTCTCTGCTCAGCCCATCTATGTGAGCCTGGGAAAGTGTCTACCAGTGATGCGTTAAAATGTGACGAAGGCTTTTTAAGAATAAGATCTTTAGTGAATCCTGGTGAATTCTTATTTGGAAGGAAGCAAAAAAATTTTTGAATAGAAGAAAAAAGAACATTCCCCCCACCCCCAGGTGAACATAAAATACCAGTTTCCTGGGTTTTTCCTTTCCTTTTCAAATCAGCAGGGCAGCCATAACAAGTGTCTTTGTGGCAATGCAGTTCCTCAAGGAAAAAAAAAATCTGCATATGAACTTCTACATAGTGCCAGTCAAGGGGTCTTCCCTAATTTACATCAGTCTTTTTCAGCCAGGGTTGAATTGAATATCCACTTCCAAAAAAGAAGAGTGCTTCTTTGACGAGTGGCAACAGGCTCTAGAAATCCATTCCAAAAAAGGGCTGCATTTGAAGCTTTATCTCTACTGAATGTGTTTAAGCTCTGGAAAAATGCCTAAGAACCCCTACAAATACATTTCAATGCTCCTTCGGTTGCTGCTTGCAACCCTGCATTCAGGAAGGGAAAAATGAAGCTGCTTTCATCGCACATCCAATCCACAGGGGAAAAAAACACCTTCTTTTCAGGAGTCAGTCTCAGGCTTGGAAGTGAAATGCACAGGCCTTCTTTCTCTCAGAACAGTGCAGTCCTCAGAGGTCTGCCGGAGACTCTAAAACCCACTGACACCTGTCCTCAGTGAGCTCTGCCAATCTTCCTCGTGCGTTATGACCTGCCCACGGTGAAACACTATCAAAGTTTCCCAGCAACTTCTGTAGAAGCCAATGAATTCACCTCTAGCACATTATCAGGTCACCCTGAGTCCTCCCGTGCTCATGACTGAACGTGTGTGGCACATGAGGTCCGGAGTCTTGAACCCTGCTCTGCAGAGCAAGGTTTAAGGAGCGCCACTCATGGCGGGTGCGCTGGCCAGGCCAGCTCCTAGAACGCAGGAGCGCCCAGGAGCCGCGGCGTCCCCGGCACAGGAAACGCGTCCCCACGGCTCTCCGCCTGTGCCGCAGCCCTAGCAGAACCCGGCTCTCATTTGTTCCCTTCCCCTTGCTTGCATAGCAACAGCAAATGCACACCCCATAGATGACTTTGATGGTTATCAGAGTCCTCCCCAAATCTGAAGCGAAAGAGCCCTATCATTCCCAAACCGAGATCTTCATTAGAAGCCGACAAAAACAGCAAAATGTGAATGAAATGCTGTTTGTGTGAATGAAAGGCTAGCAAGCGAGCCAGCGTTTCTGTGAATGAAGCTGGGCCTTGCAGCCGGTGCCAGGCAACCCCCTGGGCTCCGGCGGCTTCAGCCAATGAGCGGCCGCCCCGGTGACTCATTCAACAAAGGCTCGCTCAATAGTGGAAGATTCCATTTCAATCAAAGGCGGGATCTTTTATGCAACTGCAGCGTGGGGGTGGGGGGAAGGGCACCCAGCCTGATTACAAAGATTCCGGAAGGAAGGGGACAGTTGTTATGATAAGACGAAAAAAACTAGTTTTACAAGGAAATTCGAGGTCCCTAGGCCAGGTCTCGGTATGAACAGGGTCTCTTTCTTGGAGGTGAGCTGTGCCCCCAGCTTTCATTCAGGCCGGCATTCACATCAAGAAGCAACCGTGACTGTGCCCTCGTTCAGCTTTTATTATGAATGTACATTGAATGCACATTCAACACCCAGGCTCCTGGCCCTTGATTCTTGTATGTGAAAGGAATACAGAACACCTGTGAATGTTCTGAGTCTCCAAGGCGGAAAAAAATATCCAAAACTATATCATTAACCCTTTAGCCACCAAGTAATTTTTATTTCTTTTATTACAAGACCAGAGGAAGGAAATCGGTCATTTTTAAATATGAATAGCAATATAAATTTACTACATATGAAAAGACATATAATCTAACAGAGAAATTAATATTCCAAGAACATGATAGTACAGTCACACCCCCCTTATCCAGAAGACAATGTCAGCGTTTTGGAACACAGCAGAAAGGCAGACCAGCAAAGCCTCTCAGGCCGCTGTGCATCAGAAGGCAGCTGTGAGCCCACACGCAGAAGCTCCCACCTCACTCACAGAAGAGCACTTGGCCCTTACTGGGGAGCTGTTCCTGCTTATTTTAGACCTTATTCCAAAAAGCCTAAGCATCTGCTTCATTGGTCAGCCTATGTTCATGTACAGACAGATAACAGAGGAGACACAACTAGGTTAGCTAACGCTAAATGTAAATGAAATTTTCATGGTCTGACAATAGAAGAAAATCGAAAAAGAGTTCCATTTTAAAGTCACCCTTGAGACTCACAAAAGCCAGGCTGTCTGGGGTCACTTACAGTGATAGCCTTTTCAGCATGTTGTGGTTTTTCTTTTAAAAATCAATAATTAAAAAGTGTGTTTGTTTTCTAAGCCACTTTTTTCTATGGAACCAGTGGCTTAATAACAACACAATCTTATTGTTTTCCAGTTCTGTAGGTCAGAAGTCCAAAATGGGTGATAGTGGTATACGGCAAGGGGGTAGGCAGGGCTGGTTCTCCAGAGGTTCCAGGGAGGAGTCCTTCTCCTCCCCATTACCAAGGCTAGAGGTGCCCACAGGTTCCTGATCAAGGGCCTCAAGATGGGCTATGGGAAAGATGGTTTTCCTCCCTATTAGCAGAACATCTAAATTTAATGTTAAAACCCAGTAGAAGCCTATGTGAGTTTTTGGATGTGTGTAGGATACAAAACTATCCAGAAGGGAGCAAGCTTGGCCTGAGGATGTGGGAGCTGACCACGCCCCGGCAGAGTTGTGGCAGTTTGTAATTCTCAGGAGACTCTGTGTGGGGAAAGGATCCAGGCCTGGGCAGCTCAGAATTTCCTAGAATCCTGGGTAGGCAGAGTGGGTCAGTGAGGACTTGTCAGGAGGCTGGGTACTCAGGGAAGCGTGGAGGGGCTGAAGAGGGGGTGACAGTCAAGTTTGCTTCTTATGAAGCCCACTTTGGTAGTGACTTGGGGTGGCTCTAGGGAGTTGAAGAGGGTGGGAGATAGCAGGAAGGGTTAAAAATAACAAGGCCTGGAATAAAGGCAAGAGCAACAGGGTTAGAAAGAAGGATGGATGCAAGATGCCGTGAGAAGGTAAATGATCTGTGTCCATGACAAGACTGAGGCAGGGTGGCTCATCTGGAAGCAGAAGCTGAGAAGAGTTTAGGGTGTAAAATGCCATGGAAAGCAGAGGGTGGTCACAGAGTGGAACAGAGGGTGAAGTGGGCAGTGACTCAGCCCCACACTCCCCAGTCCTGCCAAGAGTTCCATAGAAAGTGTCCTGGGCCTGCAGAGCTCCTGGCTCACTCTCCCTCTCCTCCTCTCTCTCTCTCTCACTTCCTGACTATGGGCTGTCCAGGGAGGGAAGGCCTCCAGTAGGTGGCACCCTGAGCTGAGTCCTCCAGAAAGCAGTGACAATGGAGGGTGCTTGCCCTGGCAGCCCCGAAGCCCAGCATCTCCCACAGAAAGGAACATGGAGGAAAGCCCATGTTTCTGACTTGGATAATTAGGCTGAGTTGAGCCTTGTCCATCAGGATGAAAAGCACAGGCGGGTTGGAAGGAAGAGTGAAGGCTGGGTTCTAGATGCATGTGAGGAGTGAGGTCTTCCACATAAGGATGGCCAGAGATGAAGAGTACTCAAGACTGGAAGTGGAAACTTGAAAATTCCAGGCTTGCCAGATGGGAGCTGAGACAAAATGGGCAGAATGTGGAGGGTAAATATGGAAACCTGCTTTGATGGATGTCATGGAAGAGAGCGTCAAGAGAAAATCAGTGATGGTTAACAAGTGCATTGGTGACTGTCATAACTACTTTTGGTGTCCCCATGTACCAGCAGTGTGTGTCCATTGTGGATGGAATTGATAGGGAGCTTACATCCTTTTTTGCACAAAAAGAAACCAAGAGTCAGAGGAGTTACAAAATGTGCCTGAGCCACACTGGGTCAGGAAGTAACAGAGAGTGGCCTGATTCCAGAGCCATGTTCGTGACCCAGCATTGGTTCAGAAGGCTTGTGTGAGGTCCCTGCTGAGACCCACCTTCTGGATCACTGAACATCTTAGCAAGGTCACAGGATGGGGCCGACTGGTAAAAAGGGTTCAAAGGCCAAGAGGGCAGACGAGCTCTCTGCACAGACCCTCACTGACCATGTGCCCATTCCCCATTTGTTGGGCAGAAGGAGCAGGGCTGGGTATAAGAATATCTTTGGTGTAAGATACTCTGAAACAGGGCTGCCAACAGTGGGAGCCCAGTGGTTCAGCACCAAGGAGAGCTCCTTACAATGTGAGACCTGGGGCTGGCTCCCTGTCCTCTGAGGTGGCCTCTGCCAGCAATAAGAAAG